GTCTTACCGGGATCGAATCGCTCGTTGGAGCATAATGGGCTCTGATACCATATTAAGATTTGGGGGTCCATCTTAAAAGGTCAACCTTATTAAGAGGAGTAGCCCAAGATCTTTATTAATTGGTCTGTGTCAACATCTTTATTCGATGTGGGATTGTATCCCTTAACAAATGAAAATGTCCACAAGATGATTGCATCGAAAATAAGAATTAGAATGGTAAGAGAAAGACGACATGTTTTGCATAAACTGAAAGAAGCCTGCTTAAATATGTACTCAATTGGACAGGTTTGAAGAGGGATGGGTAAGAATTAAGATGAGCTCAAACTTATTAGAAAAACACTTACTTGTTTTCGTTATACACTATGGGTAAGTCGAGGACGGTTCCACTGTGACAAGAGTCAACTATCGCATGAAGTGTGACACCTGGCTTGAGTGGTCTAACAATTTTTTCATTTATGTAATTATCAAAAATCATTCCTTTGCTTTGAAAATCAACGGGGCATATTGTTTCATGAAATCCATCTTTCTCATCCCCGTCAAAGTCAGGTTGTCGTAAGCCATGTCCTGAAAAGTAGAACACCAAGGAGTCACCAAATTGCAGGTCCCTTGTCAGCCATTTAAAACCATCTTCAATATTTTTCTTTGTTGGATAAATATATGGCTCCTCTTCTGCAAAATGTTTTCGATTTTGTCATTCATTTTCTAGCGAATACAATATATCTATAATACCATATCACCCTGGAGACGTATTTTGCCAAGGTACGTGCAATGGAATCTACATATTCGGCTAATAATTGAACAGAGAAATTATAAGAGAGAGAGACGTTACTTTTTATCTATATTAGTGTATCTCGAATATCCACTGCGTAGCACATAACTGCGCGTCAATTACACATTATAATTTCTGAAAAACCTTATAGACCTGGTCTATTATGGCCAACGCATTTCAAATGATATTGTTACAACAACCAGATGAAATTTTTTGAGATGTTTTGTTTGGAGAATTCTATTATCATCAATAGAATTAGATTGGCAGTTAGGCTTCACTTTTATTTTTTTCAAACAGAAATCCATCTACACGATGAGGGTTTTAGCGGGTGTATAAAAGAAAGACAAGATGTACGGAAGTTTTAAGTAAATTGAACTTCCTAGAATGCCAAAAAAAACTTGAGAACGAGACGCAGAACATGCCTTGATGAATTTAGATGGACATCAGTTACTTGTTGAACCACCTCATCGAATTCCTTAAACCTTTAGATAAGGTGGTCTAACATTGTATCAGATCCCAAAACATGTCTAGATTCAGGTTTCGCTGCCACCTGTTTATGAAATTTGTTAGGGAGTCATGATGGAGAAAAGAAGTGCATGCACAATGATACTTTAAATAAATAAATCCCCCCTCCTCCCGCTTTAAATGAGGTGGTTCAACAACCTGTAAGAACACAATTGTTATTGATTCCTTCATAGAATTTCATTCTATGATATTGTTTACACTGCAAATAGACTGAGAAACTGATGACATGTACCTGATAGAATGAGAATGGAATCAACTGGAAAACTGAATTGTTTAACGAGTAAATCTTTCATGCTATGCACATCGTTTATAGCTCCTTTGAGCTTGAATTTCTGTCCTTTATAACTCACTCCACAAAGAAATGCTCTCTTCCCACTTGGAGATCTCTCAGATATACTAACACCAGAAGGATGCCTGCCATTTGAAGAATCTGTATATTGACTATTGTAGCAAGTACATCGCCTAAGAAAATTGAAGATTCCTTTAGCTTCAGGAATGATCTTGTCTCGATCTCGGCTTGAATACTTGCTTGTTCCAAGAAAACCTCGGTAAGTTTCTTGATCATTCCCAGATGCACTCATGGCAATAAATCGGCGATTATCTGGTGTGTACAAATATATATCCTCCATTCAGAACTTGGTGGCTATATACATCCTTTCAGCCATGTTTTGATGCCTTGAGTTGATAAAGTGCCGAGAATATGATTCTCACTTTTGCACAAAATAGACCATCAAAATCCAAATGAAAAATTCCACTTGGGCAATTGTTAATTAATGTAGTTTTGATTCCATACCCACAACCTACATTTCAAATCTCATGCTTGTCTTCCCTTCTAAGAAAATAGATTTGAAGATACATTCACACATCAATTAAAGCTAAGAGATTTCAATAATATTATATATAATCACAAAAGTAAATCTAAACCAGCTTCTTGAATTATTCGGACCATATTTGGCCCACAAACGGTATATTTCGTGGGATCCACACTTTTTAACTACACATTTTATAGCATTTTATCAAAATATGCTAAAAATATAATTTTATTCTCCACCAAACATCTAAAAGTACATATACTAATTAAAAATGAGAAATGAGTTAGGATTTGAATAATTGACCTAAGCATGGCTAACAGGATATTCCCACTAAAGTCCTCCGCTCTACCAACGTAAGTTCTGTTTTGTTGCCAAAGTTAATACTTATTATTAAAATTCATATCACAAGCAGGTTGGTTTACATTAGCACATATGTGCTATAGTATTTATGTATTATAAAGTTTTAATATGTAAGGAGCATCTGCTCTTTATTTTAAAAAGTATCTTAAGAAAATTTTAAAAATAAATAGTAAAACTCTTTATACCATAGTTATTAGACCTGAACCGATAGCCGACTCAGAAAAATCATCGGGTTATCGGGTCGGTGGGTCATTGTTAGACTGTGTTTTTAATTAAGTGTGTGTTTGGTAGGGATTTTTTGGGGGAATAATTGATTTTGAATAGTGATATGATGAGAGATGTGTGATTGAAAAAGAAGATAAGATTATTGATGTGATAGAAAATATTATTTTACTGAAAAATGTGCGGTTGAAAATGAGAATTGATTTACTGTTGAAAATGAGAATTTTTACCAACCATAGCCTAAAATATATTTTGCAACAAAAATAAAACAATTTTGCTAAATCTAAATATGTATAGTTTGCTCCCATTATATTACAAAGTTCCCTAGTTTCTGTTGGGAATTTACTTAATCATGCACAGCGAAAATAAAACAATTTTCATTTCCCAAACGAGAATCTGCAATGTGTTTAGATAGAAACTGTGATGAGAATGATACCTTTGGTGAATTTCACAAACTATTTTGCTTTTCCTTGAACTCCAATGATCACGATCTGCAATCCAAGCTGTCCAATTATCAGCCTCCAATAGTGATCCACACAGAGAACAAGAATGACGGCTATGGTTTTCTTTTCTTGTGCTTGCAAGAATAATGAAAATTCCATACTATTTTCAAACCCTA